CAAATATAAAATTGGATAGCAATGAATTGAAATAGTGGCAATCTGTTCTCTCAAACTGGCATCCTATTTTAACAGTGGAAAAATAAATCACAATAATAAGGATTTAGATTAACTTGGCTGAAAGGAAATGGCACAGAGGAAGTGGTACTCTACATCCAACTCATCTTTGTGCCTATAGTGCCTGGCACTAGTAGATGTTTGATAATGTTTTTTCAGTTCAGCTGAGAAATGGATGTGAAGGCAATATGGGAAGCTTTAAGTCCTGCACAAATATAAAAACCTAAAAATTGTCTGATTGAGGAACTGGGACACTGAAAGAGAGTAAGGGAGAGACAGAGCAAATAACATAGAGTCATTGTCCAAGTGTTAAATTATGAAATCTTTCGATATATTATTGACAAATAATAACTTCTCCTAGGCATAACTGTGCCTTCTGATTCAGAACTTCATGTTTGTTATTGATTCTGGTTAGCTACCTAAGGAAAAGATACAAATGTAGAATTTATGCCTTATCCCTAATTGTGATCATCTTTGCTGATATAATAGATTCCAATCAAAGACTTCAGAATGGTGGCCAATGCAATACATAAAATTTTAAAGTCAAGGGAGGTGCAATTTCATCCTGTGTAAAGGGTTTAAAATTCTATTAGTATGTATTAGGTCTTGGTGACATTATATTACCATAATACAGAAAGAGAATAAATACTGGAAATAACCCATTTAACAATTAACACTTTCCACTAAATAATCCATTTAACAATTGATTTTAAGGAAAGATACTGAGTTATAAGAAGTGCAATCTTTTGTGACTGGTGATTAGTTAAATCCTCACTACAGGTTTAAAAAAAATAAACCTCATGGATGTGATCACACAAAGGACTCTGTCCTACAGTTCTAGGGTTGGCCTTAGTTCCTATTGGTCCTATATTCTTTGACCTAAAATATGTATTAAAATTCTGAGTTTCGGACAGAGAAGCCTCAATAAGTTGGTGATGGTAATTTTACTTATTTTGGTTGAGTGGGTAAATTTAAATTTTTATTTAATTTAATAAATTTAATTCTTATTTCATAATATGAAATGTCTAAGGAGTTTTAACTAAAAAATTTGGAAATGGTATCTGTTTAGGAAATTTTTATTTACCAACTACCAAATGATTTCATTGAAAGATAATGAACAATGATAGCAATTTTAAATAATATTATTATATTTATAAACAATTTTGTCATCTAAAAATTTAATAATTAGTATATTAAATGTATACTATAATATATTGAATGCTGGTTACAATATAAATAATTGCAAGTATTTTTGTTGTTTTGGCAAAACATTCCCCTTCAATTAGTAAGAGCCCATTAATAATACTCTGCCTTCAAAGTGAAAAGTAATTATTGGGTAGCTCAGCTGTCAAGTGTCTGACTTTGGCTCAGGTCATGATCTCACAGCTTGTGAGTTCAAGCCCTGCATTGGGCTCTGTGCTGCCAGCTCAGAGCCTGGAGCCTGCTTCAGATTCTGTGTCTCTTCATCTCTCGGCCCCTCCCCTGCTCATGCGCGCGCTCTCTCTCTCTCTCTCTCTCTCTCTCAAAAATAAATAAACATCAAAAAACTTTTTTAAAGAGAAGTAAATTATTAAACTTTCCAAAAAACAATTTTGTATGACTCTTCCTTAGCCACCCGCTCTAGGGGGCAGGAGGTTGGTAGTTTTTTCTGTTATCACTGGTCTATGAAATCCCATAACTGCACTGCTAAGCTTGTGTTTGCTGAGCTTTGGAGTCTGAGCACAAGAACATACAAGACCTCAGAATTCCTGCCTGAACTCATCTAACAAACTCCTACTTATCCATCAAAACCCAGATCAGAATTAAACCATTTCATCTATGCTACGCCTCTACTACATACTTTATTTACTCATTTGCTAATTATTTATTGCATGCCTAATATGTGATGAGCTAAACAAGAGCATTTTGACTATTTTTATAAAGTTTCTAAAAAGCCATTTCAACTCAAAGGGCGTTGTGACACTGTTTTGTTTTGAGATATACACACACACAAATACACATACACAGACACACACACATACACATACATATATGCATATATATATATATGGATATATATATGTATGGATATCTATCCATACATGTATATATCTATATAACTTACGCATCTATGTACCTATGTTTCCATGTATCTATCTACATATAACCTATATCTACTGATTGAATTCTATGCTTATTCATGTCTACATATCTAAGGTTAACAAGAAACAAACAGATCTTCATTATGTTTACTGGGTGCCTCGACAGACACTTGCTTATGTATTATTCTGCCCTGCTCTTCATCACTTCATTTCTTATAAATCTATACTTAAATACTGAATGGAGAGCATTTGCCTTTCCAGGCTCATGTAAAGATGATGCCCTCTGGTGGATGGTGGTGAAGATCACACCTTTAACTATACAGCTCTGGGTTGGTTTTTTGTTTGTTTTCTAAATTTATCTTCAGTTGGTCTTACATCCCAAAGTGATTAGGATTACTGTCAGAGTACTCATACCTACTGTGATGTGAAGAATACAGAAAGATCCTTTCATCCAACCAGGCCTGTCCATTCCACCATTATATTAGGCCTCAGTAATAACCTTTTGTGGCTTTGTAGGACCCTGTTAATATTTATTATTTTACCTCAAAAATACGTATTGTGAGACATAATAATATTTGGAGGCATTAATTTACTACCAGAGATTAGTTCATCAGTGTCTAACAGGACCTCAAAAGAAAGTACTCAGAAATGGACAGATCTGTCGACATGTGGCTTTGATATCTCTTCAACTTTTACCTTTGCAGAGAGACAATATCCTAAAATATTAATATTTTGGCTTTTTTTTTGGTAAAAAAACAGTTATTTACAATAACTTTACCCCCAATTAATGAAAGACTGCCTCAAGATGAGGTTGGGTTATAATTGCAAAAAAGAAGAGTCAATTTTTAGGTTAAAAACATCCAAATTATGCCCTTAATACAAAAATAGGAGGCCTGAATGAATTACAAAACAGAATTTTGCCATATCACTAGGAAAGAGTGTAGAGGAAAAACAGATTCCCTACCTTCCCAATCTCAGGACACTAGGGGAGGTTCAACTAGGCTTTAGGAAGGAGGGACTGCAAAGCTAGGCAAGGCCTGAAAAATACCCAAGTTGTGGGGGAGAAACAAGGGGATGGGACCCAGAGGTGACAACCAGGAACAGGGCAGAACCTACAGAGAAAACTGCATACCTCCACTGGTCACCAAAACCAAGGAGAGGCACAGAAGCTAAACTAATGCCTGATAAATATTTTATTCCACCCCAGGGACCACTGCTTATTTCCAATGGAGAGCAGCATTGTTACCTGATCAAATATCCCACTGGCGCAAGGTGTAAGCCTTCCATGGAGAGCTGCCTGCTGGTCACATGCATGCCATGGCACATTCGGAGACATTGCCGACCCCCATCAAAATGACACTGGGAAGCACCTCCCCCTTTGCAGCAACTCAGAATGCTCACAAGCCCCCCAAACCATAGAGTAGAGAACCTTCATGACCAGACAATAATTCATCCCTGCTACACTTTAATGCTTGAGCAAGAAAATTAACAAGAGTAAGGCCAGAACCAAAGAAAGATGGGTATGTCTAGTTCTCCTAGGAACCAGAAAAAAAAGGGAAACTAGAAGGATGATGACCCCCTAGAACCCCTGCCTCAGCCTCACTCTGTCCTAAGCCTGGATATTATAGCCATGACCAAGAGTAAGGGAAGCTTGACATATTCTTCGTATCCTGGGGTGGCAGGGAAAGAAGCATAACGGGTGGCATAAAGACATTCTTTTGCAAGTTGCCAACAATTTAACTTTACTACTCAGAATTCGACCTCCCTTGACACTCAGATATAGCATTATGTGACATAGCTAAATGTCTGGCTACCTTGAGCCAGTTTTTAACCCTTTGAGGTTTTAGATTATCATCTATGAACCTACATGATAAGACAGTTGTGAGGATCAAAAAGAAAATTTCATGGAATAAATAAGCCATTGAATTCTCCTACATGTAAGAACCAGAAAGGATTGGCTCCAGGTGAGTCTGCTACTTGGAAATTGATTGAGGTGTGTACAGAGCAATGGGTTGATTGCTGATCTACCCAGGGAGAAGAATCTGACAGACTCTACACTTGGGGAGACCGATCGATAAATTCTGGAAGCACATGAGTCCTTTTGAGACCTCACTCTGTGCAAGGTGTTGCTCTGTTCTGATAGACCCTGCAGAAGAAATTGCCTTCAAGGATTGTGGTGGTGTTACCATGGCATCACATATGTCCAAACTCCTCAAAATGCATACATTAAATATGTGTGATTGTTTTTATATTAAGTATATCTCATTAAAGCTGAAAATAAAGGATTTCTTTGATAAATCATAACCTAAGGAAAGAATTAAACAATAGTTCTCTGAGTTATTTATAGTGAAAATAACAGTTTAGATTTAGTATGGGTATTGAAGAGAGAAAGGGTGAGGAGGTGGTTATTATCATGGGTAAATTATTATGATGTACTAAATGTAACTAGGGCTCAGTATGCTATGGGGTGGGTGAGGATATTTATAAAGACCCAAAGACAGGATATAGTACATTTATTTTCATGCTCTCCTGGGAGGGATGTGAAGAATACAGAAAGGAGCAAGGCAAGCAGAATGCCTTGGTTGGAGTTGAGGAGAGAGTAGGGAGGTGGGGGAAATAGTTGGGAAGCTGAGAATGAAGGTCATAGTCACATATCTCTTGTGTTTCATTTGCCTTGCCTCTGCACCCTGCTCAGCAAATGAGACTAAGAAAAGCCAGAAGGGGTGAAGGGTATGCCCATCCCAGCAGAGTCTGTTGCCTCAGTCATCTTCTCTGACACCTGCACTTCCCACAACTTCTCTTCCAGGTATTCCAGAATGTGCAGGTGACAGAAACCAATCCTGGCTTACCCAGGTTCAAACATCAACAAATGTAACAATACCACAAAAAAGAGAAGCCATAGACCCAGATCATCAAAATGGCAATGGAAGCCACATGCCAGCAGAAGAAGGTGGTGACAAATATAATGTTGTTTTTGTCATCATCCATCCATTTATAGCCAGAAATTGGTTTGTACAGCATAAAGCCTATCTGAATCAGCCAAGAGCCTGTCATCATATAAAAAAAGGCCTTCATCACCCAAAGTTGCAGCACATCAGGGGCCCACAGCTCTGCGATCACCACCAACGCCAGCAGGAATATGGCCTGAGTGAGCAGGATGTGAGACTGCAGCTCCACACCTTCTGAGTCCTGCATGTGAGACACCATCAGAGGCAGAAACAGAAACATGCCCAGGGCTTGGGCACCTTGCTCCAGAGCAGCACACCTCTGGGGCAGCACGTTCTGGCTCACCACATCTACACACCCGCTCAGGAAGAAGGTAATATATAGAGTGAGATGCTGCCACTGTTTGCGGTACAAAAAGTTTCTCTGATGATATATCTTGCTGATGAGTACAAACTGTCCATGTATGTTATGCAGCTCTTGAGCTACTAAAATGCAGGCACTTAATATCTTCACCAGCCCAACATAGTGTATTTGTCTCAGCCTTGCCCATCTTCCTTTGCTCCAGGGATGGCGTGGCAGATACTGGACAGGGTAGTTGCATATCAGGGCCCTGGAGACTAGTCGTGCATGATAAAGTCCATAGAAGAAGAGAGACAGTCGGGGTACAAATGACCTTCAAAGCCTCCCACGGGACTGAAGGTAGGTCTGACCAAAAGCAGAGACAACCAGCTCAGAAATGGTCACCTCAGGTTCTAGAGTGTGGAGGGAGCTTCCTGAAGTCTACTTATATCCTCTCTCCAGCTCATTGCATCTACATACAGAAGGGAAATGGTTTTGGAGGAAACCCAAATTTCCAGTGGGGTGGGTGTCATGGTTTCCGTTCTGGTCTTCTGCTCTGGTTCATTGATAGCTAACCATCCATTGTCAATGAAATAAGCATATTCACCATCACAATGCCTGGGCATCTGCAGTTCTTGGAGATTATGCTAAAGGCCCCCCTTGCCTCTTTTACTTGTCCTTGACGTTCCTTACTTCCCTCTCAAAGTCACAGAACGTAAGAAAGAACTGAGAGAAAGCATGGAGAATACACAATGTCTGGCATATCTCTTAAGACTCCTCGCATATAATCTCATATAATTACTAGGTATAAATAAATGTATTCTCCCGGGCATAAACAGTCTTAAGAGTCACAAGTAAACCTACACAACATCCAACTACTCTGATGTTATTTGAGGATTACCAGAACGATATTCACTCCTGATAATCTCCTGCTGATCTCCAGATCAGAAATGACACGCCACCACCTGAGATTCTTTCCTTTGGGCTGAAGCAATGTTTTTCCAAGTTAAAATGCAGGTGAATCGGTTCTACTCAGAGGTACTGATTCTGAATTTCTTGGGGGTGGTGTCTTGTAATAAGCATTCCAAGAAACGTTCCCAGGTAGTTCTTAGGCACACTAAATTTTGAGGACCACTGAGTAAAATGTTGGTACTGGTAAGAAAGAAGATCTTATTGAGGTGCCTGGCTGGCTCAATCAGTTAGCGTCTGACTTCAGGTCAGGTCATGATCTCACAATTCACGTGTTCGACCCCAGCAACAGGCTCTGTGCTGACAGCTCAGAGCCTGGACCCTGCTTCAGATTCTGTGTGCTTCTCTCTCTCATTTTGTCCCTCTCCAGCTTGTGCTTTGTCTCTCTCTGTCTCTCAAAAATAAATAAACATTAAAAGTTTTTTTAAAAAAAGAAAGAAGATCCTATTAAGCTAGTAACCTTAGTGTGAATTAGCCATCAAATATTTTCTCTCATGAAATAAGCATTTAGTTAGAATGTAATGGTCATATTACCCTTCATGACAGTCAATCAAGTACAAGAATGTCTCAAGTTAAATTTGTGTCATATTGCTCCTATATATTTTCATTTTGGTTTATTTATTGGTAAATTCTCTTTTGTTCCTACTATCAATGGATCTTCCATTTTATTTTATCAGTTTTACAAATATAAAAAACTATAATTTTATATTGATCTTCATATTAATCGTCTTGTTGCATGTAGCTACTGCTCTTACTAATTTTCAAATGATTTTATATAATCATGTTATCTTCAGTAATGAAAAAATAATCTTCTCTTATATATACTTTTGTCTTTTCTAATTGCCTTTTCCAATTGCATTAGCATGATAGAATTCTATTGTTGTTTTAACTATGAAATCTCCTGGGAAGTGTCTCCTCAAGCCCTGGGGGTTTAGTGGGAGCTATCATTTTCTGATAAATCCTGCTTTCCCAGTCACAGATCAGACAAGGGACGAGCACTTAATCCAGTGAGGCTAATCTAAACCCTTCAGCAAAAATTTTTTTAATCAAAGAAAACAGCTCTCAGATCTTTCATAGATTATATCAATTCTGTTCACAGCTGAACTAATTAGCATATTTGAATTTTATTTCCTTCTCCACGGATCCAATAACATATTACTTATCTGTTGCTGTGTAACAATTTAACACAATTTAATTTAGTGGCTTAAAACATCATGCATTCATTTCAGTTTCTGTGGGTCAGGATGCAAGACAGATCTCTATGGGACCTCTGCTCACGAGTCTCACAAGGTACAATCATGGTGACAGCCAGGCTGCACTTCATGCTGAAGCTGAGTCCTCTTCCAAGTTCACATGGTTGTAGCAGAATTCCATAGGACTGAGGTCCCATTTGCTTGCTAGTTATCATTTCACATGTACCAGATAGACAAAAATGAGCTTGACAACAGTCTGACAATGTGAAATAAATAGAATGATTAATACATTGCTAGTGGAAATGTAAATGATACACTTTGTTAAAGAATTTGATGTTATGTGGCATTATGTAGTAAAGTTGAAGATACATATCCTTACGTGTATAAACTGTACAGTAACTCTCATACATGCATAAAAGGATCATATTTAGGAATCTCCATAACAGCACTGTCTATAACTGGCAGAGAGAAGGAGGAATAATCAAAATGTCTTTCAACATTAAAATGTATAGATAAACTTTTTTTATAAAATGAAAATGATAGAGAAGTAAAAGTGAAAAATGAAAAATACAGCTATAGTCAACAACATTTTGATAGTTAATTTTATGTGACAACTTGACTGGGCCACAGGGTGCCCAGGTTAAATATTATTTCTGGGTGTGTCTATGAGATTAACATTTGAATTTAGTAAAGTAGATTATCCACCCCAATGTGGGTGGCCTCATGAAATCTGTTGAGAACCTCAATAGAACAAAAGGTAGAGGAAGATGGAATTCATCCCTTTTTCTTCCTGCCTGTATACTGGACTGGGACATAGGTCTTCTTTTGCTCATGTACTGGGGCTTATACCATCAGTTCCCTTGGCTCTCAAGTCTGTAGACTCTGACTGGAATTATACTACAAGGTCTCTAACCTAGAGACAGTGAATGTGGGATTTCTGTGCCTCCATAATCACATGAGCCATTTCCTCATGATCAATCTCCTTTATATGTATACATCTATCGGTTCTACTTCTCTCGGGAACTCTGACTGATACCAATGTGGAACTTCAAAAATATAATTTTATATGAAAAAAGAATGTCACAAAAGAATATATACTGTATGCATATATATACTGTATGTATATACACGTGTGTGTGTGTGTGTATATATATATAGTTCAAAAACACACAAAACTAAACAATGTGAACACATATGTGGAACGTAAATCAAATTCAGGAAAGTGTTTACCCCCCAGAGGGGAAGAATAGGATAGATTTGAGAGAGACGCAGAGGCATGGAAAATAACAATGGTTTTCTGTTCTTATAGTTGGTGGGGACCACAGGAGTGTTGATTGTATCCCAACTCTGTAGAGTTTACATGTAGTCTATAAATGTTATTTTTTATCTACTGAATATTAATTTTTTTATTTGAAAGAGAGAGAATGAGTGGAGGGGGAGGGGCAGAGGAAGAGAGAGAGAGAGAGAGAGACAGACAGACAGAGACAGAGAGAGAGAGAATCTCAAGCAGGCTCCACATGGAGGCTGATGCGGGGCTTGATCCCACCAGCCTGGGATCATGACCTGAGCTGCAATCAAGAGTCAGATGCTCAACTGACTGAGCTACCCAGGTGCCCCAATATTAATTTGCTTTTACAGAAGTAAGAAGACTAAGTAGAAGTGCTGTGTAGGTGCTGTGTATAATTGATGTCTATTAAGTCCACTTTAGGGTGAGAAGGTGGGAAGACAGCTGTTTGCAATAGGCCTCTCCAAATGCCAAAATGAGTTTTTCTCTAGGACATCAACACTTATATGTATCATTCTACAACTGGCTGTTTTTCACTTAGTCATGGAATGTGTTGGAGGCAGAGCTATTTTGTTATATGATAGCACTATTGATTCCATTTAATATTATCATATTTATCTAGCCCCATAGTGTTGGACATGTTGGTCTAGCTGATTTATTTTTTAATAATAAATTCTGATTAAATATTCTTCTTTAGAGTACATAACCATAAACAGCATTTCTGAGTCACAGACTATTTTTTTTAATTTAATAGTTAATTAATGAATCTCCCTTGTGGTCATACCAATTTTCAGTCACCCCTACAATATATTAATCAACAAGTTCTCTGCATTATTTATCCCCACCTACTGCCCTTGCCCAAGCATCACCAACTCTGCATTGTTGCAACATCTCTTAACTGAGTTCTAATCCTCATCTATTCCTGTCCCCATTGCAGCCAGAGTGAGCTTTGGGAATAGAGAGCAAATAATGCCACTGGCTAATTTAAATTCTCCAGTAGCACCCCATTGATTTATGGATAAAATCCATGCCCTTAAGAATAAGCTTGAAGGTGCCTCTTACTTTGGCCTGGCCTCATTTCCAGTCCCTCCTCACATGTACCATTGTCTCCAGGCATGGAGACTGGAACAGAAGCTTCCAGTTGAGTCTTGAATGGTCTTCCTGTTCCACATTTTTTTTCTATCCAGGAAACTCATCCTTTTGTCCTTTAAAGCTCTGCTCAAGTACTGTCTCTCCTCCCAACTAGGAAAGAAATCTCTCTATGCAACTTATACACATCTCTATAGTTACGCTTATACACATACACTTATGCACATCTCTACAGTCACATGGTTTTACCACTCTTTATTTACTGAGAAGTATTTGAAGTTGGAGACCATGCTCTGTCTTCTTTGTCTCTTTAGAATCTAGCCCCACACCTGGAGGTGCTCAGTTTTGATAAATGAATAAATGAGTGAACTATCATATGAACACATGGTCTCTACCATAAAATGTTCTATAATCTAGTTATAAAGACAGAGTAGAAACATACAAATGACGCAAAGTCGCTAATTCTAAGAGCTAAATGTCGAATAAGTGAAACAAATGTCCAGAACTATTTAATTAGAGGAAAGAGTTCACTCCTGCTGTCGAAGTCAAGACAAATACAATCATTCACAATGAACAGCTGGAGAGACTAACATATATAAGTTCAAATTTTATCTTCCAACTCCTTTGTCCTTGGATGAAAAGGGTGTGGAGGACTTGGCATAATTGTAACACAAATATTCACTCTCTTGGCGGGCAATATTGCCCCTATGGAGAGCACATGGTGTAAACCAATGGCAGAGTGTAATCCCAGAAAAGAGCTTAGTAATGCAGAACACAGCTCATATTCAAAGAATGTCTGTCTTTCAGTGATAGGTGTTGAGGGTTCATTA